GTCCGTGGCGCAAAAAAGGTTGGAGACCGCTGCTTTAAAGCAACTCACAGGGACCAATCAACTCACTGTTTATGCCACATACTGAAATACACTAGACAGACTTTCAAAATAAAAGTATTGAAATATCTCCATTGCTGAGTGCATCCATTTTCTGCTGTGACTTCTTTAAACTAAGACAAAGTGTAAGAAAAACATTTTCTTGCATGTTTACAGTCATTCACTCTCCCTGCAGGAGCCCTGGCAGTGTCGCGTCTGATATGCAGAAACGCTTTCAATGGTCAGGAGACGAAGTACGAACTGAACTTTGGCTGGCTTGCTTTACGTTATTACCACTTTACAAAAATAATAAACCAGAAATAAAGTAAATAAAAGAAAAGAAGGGTGAAAATTCCAGTTTTAGTGGAAAAACAACAACAATAAAAACAAAAAATCTTTTAATTCATCTGTCGCCACATTAAAAAGCTGCTTACCAAAAAAAATAAGAATGATAATTTCATGGTTCAAATACTATCCAAAAGTTTGACTGAAACACACACTGTCATCAAATCTGAACCCATCACCACACGAGACCAATCGACTACACATTTTTACACCTATTTACAGAGACTCGCCGTCCTCGGTTAATATACACAAACACTACAGTAATGTACAGTTTATCTTACATCGATTATCACAAACGCACATCAAAAAGTGTTTGGGGGGGAGGAGTTACATTCGATAACAAAGGTTTTATACTGCTGCTGCTTCCTGTTGCTGATGTTCAGAATAAAAAGAACCGTCAACGTAAAAGCTGAAACACGGAAAATAAGAGTACTTCCACACTCAGAGTACACACACGCGATACAAAAACCCAACAACACCTAAAGAGAACACGATGACGAGCATTTACACTCGGAGGGAGGCGGCTGCTGCGCTAACAGATACTGTAAAGGTTTGTTTTCAGTTATTTCAGTGATGAGTCTACTTACGATCTTTCCAGTTTTTTGTCTAAAGCACCGCCTGATCTCTTCCCCTCGCCGGCGGAGGCAAGCGCCCGGCCTCACACGCCTGAGCAGCGCATTCTCCATCACAGCATCCCGTCCAGGTTCTCTTCGTTCTTCTTGGCCGTGCTGCCTTCCTGATGGGTGTACTGATTGTGGTAATCGCGGAGGATGGTGACGACGTCATGGTGGCCGAAGTGCACGGCCTCATCCATCGGCGTGTTCCCCCACCTGCACCAGACACGAAGAACTTTAAACACAAATCCACCTCATTCATTTAACACATCTGGCTCAAAGAAATTCCCTCCATCTCTATCTATCCAGATACGTTTTTTTTTTTACATGTATTTATTTGTTTATTAAAAAGATAACTAAAGTAAAGTGTGGTCTCTGTTACCTGTCTTTGGGAACTGGGTTGACCTTGCAGGCCTCCAGCAGGAAGCGGACCACCTCAGCATGTCCTGAAACACACAAACATCGGGTCAGCTGACTGAACAGAGTAATTGCCATGACGACAACCTGACTGTACGCATTTCACCTTCAGCGGCGGCCACATGCAGCGCTGTCCTCGAGTCGTAGTCCCTCTGCTCCATGTCCATGGAGGACAGCGCAAACCTGCACAAAGACAGAACAGCCAAGCAGGAAGGAAGGAGTGAGAGCCATGTGGAAACAACCAGAAGCGACTGCATTTAGTTTTTAAATTTGGACTTGGTT